CACAGGAACCTCCACTTTGGAGTAGGAGGCTGGCACGTGCTACATTGACCTACACAGTGAAACAACACCATTGATATAATCTATTTTGAGTCCTCTTCCTCTCCCTGTTGTCCCTCTCCACGTCATACACTTTACTGAATTTGTGAAAGTAATTTTAAGCATGGCAACAGGAACCATTTGGCCGTGCAGGGTACATCATAGACCATTACACAGTGGACATGCTAGATCTCTTTTTCCTCCAAGTGGCAGCACTTCTGTCTTAAGGGGATTTTAAATTCTTGCATCCAGTAGCAGTCATCTTTTGAAGCAGTGGCACTGGAAGCAGTAGAACAGGCTCTCTTCTCATAGTGAGCAGCAGCGAGTGTGGGGGAAACAGGAAATAACCTGGATATGCCTGATGTTCTCTGACTTATGTGGAGAAGATTGTTTACAACTTGATCAATATTTGAGTGCAGATTCCCCAAAGTTGTCTTTAGGATAAGCACTTGTCTCCTTCAAGGGAGAAGGATGCTGTCAGTTGCCTCTTTCTCTGTGCCTCTTTCTCTTTCTCTTTTCTCTTTCAACCTTTTAATGCGTTTAAGATGTTCCCAGCCAGTTTGATCCTACCCAGTGCAGTACATGCCTTGCCTTTTCTGGGCAATGGGCAAGAAAAGGTACTTTGTTCAGGCGATCTGCTGCCTTCTGGCATTGATCCAGTTGGTGTAGCTTCCTTCAGACACAACACTGCCTTTCACAAATCTAAATTGCATCTGATAAGACCAAGAAGTTGCTACAAGAGCTTCAGAGTACTCCACAGGCACTGTGCTGTCCTCATCACAAGAGGGAGGAAACAGTAAGTGTTATATCTGGTTTGCAGGGGACTGACCTACCGCGCAGAGAAAGGACATGACCTCTTCTGAAGCTAGTCAATGGCAGAGCTGCGGGTTCAGATTAGGGAGACGATGGCTTCCTCCCCCATGGCACCAACACCGCATCAGTGATATAGAAAGAAAAATCTGGTGTCTAAAAAAGAGCCAGGTCTGTGCAGATGAGGGCTGGCAGACAGCCTGCGTGCAGACCATTAGTCAGAGCTACGTCCCTCAGCATGTCTCGGGTTCTGTTAAGAACACTTGTGCAAGTAGCGTCGTCTAAGCCTGATTACTCTAATTTAAATATAGCCCTTAAAAATATTGCGGTACTTGAATGAGTTCCTGCAAACAGTGTTGTTGTGCTATCTCAGAGGGAAGAGATTATCTGAACCCAGCACTGGCAGCCAGCATCCTTGAGCTCTGATCCTGGCCTTGACATGGCTTACCGCTGTAGAGCATTGGATGGGTTGCTTTGTTCTGTGCCTCAGTGCCTTTATCTATAAGCAGGTGTCCTAAGAGACAAGTGCCTGATGTAAGAGTAGTGCTGCCAGGAGTACAGGAAGAGCATGAGTCACTGTCCTGTGCTTATCTTGAGAAGGGTGCAGTATTTGGTGGTTTACTTGTTTTTTTGGGGGTTTTTTTATTTGTACCATTCCCTTTACATGGGCAGAAAGGGAGAACTTACTGTGGCATCTTCCTTCTGCTTCCTGGACTCTTAATTAGGGCCTGTAGAAAAATGTTGCAAGTTTATTCCATTTTTTTGATGCTTCCGAGGTCATGGGAATAGTTTGTGCTTTGAGTCCCTCATTGAAATTCTACTAGAAAAGGGGCACTGTTTTCAGCACCCTTGGGACTGCATTGAGACTGATAGCAGCTAAGCTATGAAGACAAAAATGAACAGTTTGCCTCACTAAAAGCACTGATTGTTTTGCATAGTCACCTAATAGAAATGTTGTTCGTACTTCACAAGCGAAGATGACCACATGCAGCGGGGTGGGGGGAGAAGAGAGAAAGGAAGCGGGCAAGGAAAAGGAAGGGAGAAAAGAGAAAGGGAGGAGGAAAGAGAGAGAAGGGGGGTGGAGGCTAGGTTGCGCAGGTACACAGGTGACTTATAAGCCTGACCTTTGCCCTGAACAATCTGCTGCAGCAGGGGCAGGAGAGCAGTGAGGACTGGACACG